TGTGTGTGTGTGTGTGTGTGTGTGTGATTTCATAATTGTTCATTATGTTATTGTGCTTTACAATTAATGTCCCATATAATCTTTTGCATGATTGAAATAATACAGTTGATTCTTGAACAATGTGAGGGTTAAGGATGCCAACCACCCTTGTTGAAAATCCGAGTATAACTACAGTCGGCCATCCACATCTGTGGATTTCTAACCATGGATTGAAGATACATTTGAGCCTTGAACAACACTGGTTTGAATTGTGCGAGTGTACTTATACGTGGAATCTATCGACTGTGTTAAAAAGACTAGGGGACAAATGTTTACACTAGAAAAAGAGAAAGCTATTTAGCAAGCAGATTTAATATGCGTTCATGCTTAAAACTAGAGCTCTGATCGATCTTGACTCCCGGTTCAGCATTTCAATAACCACTGACCTTTATCTTCTTTCTGCTTCTTGCCCAGCAAGTCTTCCCAAATCCCTATTCTCTGCCCTGTGTGGTTTAGTAACTTGCCTATGTGGAGTTAGTCATGCAGACATGGTGTGGGCTGGGCAGGGTCACCAGGGTAAGGAAGCTGATGTCTCAACCCACGAGCTCAGGAAGCTTGGTGTTCAGCTCAGACTCAGATGATCAGGGCCTGAGGCAGTGCTCTTTACATTATTCAAATTGAGACAAACCCACCTTTATAACCGTCAGTGAGTGAATTACAGTTAGGCTCTACCCTTCCAGTAGCTGGAATTTTCCTCTTCTCTCATTACCACCATCCACCTCATTTTCCTTTCTTCTAGCGTATATTTTTTCCTAACAATATTAACGTTAGATTGTTTTTTGATTCTGGAATCATAGAAAAGGGATTAGGTTGAGCATTAAAGGATAGTTAATAAACTCTTTCCCTGAGTTACCTTGAGCAGGTCACTTGACCGCCTGTAGGCCTCTGTCTTCCTCTTAAAACAATAGTGTTAATAGTAATAATAATTCTAACATTTACTGGGTATTTACTCTTTGCCAGGCATTTGCTAATGTACTCTATCTACATAATTTCATTTCATCCTTAGACCTTATGTTATTATCCCTATTTTAAAGATGAGAATATTGAAACACGGGGAAGTTAAGTGACTTGTTCAAATTCATATAGTTGGCAAAGCGCGGGGCTAGGATTTCAACCTGGTTCCAGAGCCTTGTTCTCATTCGCTATGGTATACTGACTGCCTATTTATAGGAAGGTTGAAATGAACAATAGCAGTATAAAAAGAAAAGTTACAACCTAATATTTATTGGATCTTATGAGGCAGGCACTAGGCTAAGAGTTTAACACACATATTCTCATTTAATCTTCACGTAAGGTAGTGACTGTTATTTGCCTCATTTTATAAGGCCAGCTAAAGTTTAAAAAGGTTAGTTGACCTGCCCAGTCTCACATATGCTACTAAGCGGAACAGCTCAGGTCCATCTACCTCCAAAGCCTATGCTTTTCACCATCTTCTTTATTAATTAAATGCTAGAGAAATGTACATGTTATCACAGGGCACATTCCCGGTACCTTCTGGAAAGGGTCTACCTTTCTGAAATGGTACTGGGAAACACTAACACGTTCTTATTCTCCCCATTTCCTGATGCAAGACCATTTACTGTCTTGCTGATACTGTTACCAGGTCTCCCTTCAAGAGGCTGTTGCCATATCTCCGTTATAGGTTTTAAATTGATTTTATTTTAGGTTGGCCATTTCCTGAAATACATAGATTATTAGGGAGGAGTCATTATCTTATTGAATGCTTGTGCCTATATCCTTCCAGAAGATGTTCAACTTTTTAAAAAAAATTATAAGATATACGTAACATAAATTTTATTGTTTTATCCTTTTCTTTTCTTTTTTTTTTTTGTTGTTTTATCCATTTTTAAGTGTACAATTCAGTGGCATAAAATATATTCCCAGTGTAGTATAAGCATCACTATTGTCAGCACATTTTCATTATTCCAAACAGACATACTTCTTTTTAAAAGAAAACAATGTCCCCCCCACCCACTACACACATACTTTTATATAATTATAAAGGTCATACATGTTCATTAGAGAACATTTGCAAACTACTGGATGTAAAAAGATGAAAATTTAAATTTCCCAGGATCCCATTTTCAGCAACACCCATGGTAACATTTTTATTTTAAGCATTTTCTCTAGTTCTTCCTGTGCCTGTGTGTGTGTGTGTGTGTTTAATTAATTGTATTGATCTTTCCCATCAAGTTGTGCAGTGTCTACTACCTGTGTTTGGGTTCTAGGTTGTTTGAAAGTACATTGTCAAAGACTTTTGTTTTTTAGCCTATACACTCCTCACATTCAGAAAACCAGTATGTATTTCTGAGCTCTATTTTCAATGTCTCATTCATTCATGTATTCATACGTGTTTTGAGCCTTTCTCAGTCCCAGGAAGGTCCTATGCTAGAAGAGCAGGAATACAGAAATGAATGTGTAGAGTGGCTTGCCCTTAAGCAGCTCACAGCCTGGTTCATGGACACAAATAAGTAGTAGTCCATGGTGCTGTATGTACCACAGTAATGGATGTTCAGGGCAGAGCTAGTGCTCACAAAAGGCGTGATCAGCCGTGGTTGGAAATTCAGCCATTGTCACCTTTTTAAACAAATCCAATTACAACATAAATATTTATAACAGAAGTCACACTGTGAACAGTTTACAACCTGAATCATGCTTTGTCCACTTAATGCTGTCATATGAACACTTTTCCATGTCTCATGTTAGTTTTTTGTTTGTTTGTTTTTTTAAGATTTTATTGGGGAATTGGGGAAGGGGAACAGTGTTGGGGAATTGGGGGAGGGGAACAGCCAAGTTGTTGTCCATCAGTCTTAGTTGTGGAGGGTTCAGCTACCTCAGCTCTAAGTCTAGTTGCACCACTCAGCTCAAGGTGCTGTGTTCAATTAGTTGCAGTGGGTGTAACCACCATCCCATGCGGGATTTGAACCAGAAACCTTGTTGCTAAGAGCACACCCTCTATCCACTGAGCCACCCGGCTGCAGCTCAGCTCAAGTTCAGTCTTTAGTTGCGGGTGGGCATAGCCCACCACTCAAACTGGCGCCTTGTTAGGAGCATGTGCTCTCACCAGCTGAGCCATCCTGCCACCTGTTGGCAGCTCAGCGGCAGCTCAGCTCAGAGCACAGCATCACTGGCCCATGTGGAAATCCAGCCAGTGACCCTGTTGCTCAGAGCTAGTGCTCTTGGGCAAGCTCTTAACCAACTAAGCCACTCTGCTGGTCCCCATGTCCCATGTTTTTAACAATTCTTCACATCATTATTTTTAATGGCTACAGAATATATCTTGCCGTAATTTACTTAACCATTCTGCTGTTTGTTGGTTATGCAGGCTGTTTCCACTTTCTCATTATTACAAATAATGCTACAATGAAATCTATGAACTTATCTCTTGGCATTTTGGATTGTTTCCTCAGGATTTGGGTCTGGATGTAGCCATTTCACCTTATTCTTGCCAAGATTTTTTTTAAATGTAAACTTTTAATTTTATAGGTGAAAATTGATATTTTATTTAATAGATATTATTCTTAAAAGCCTTTATGTAGACAGCTAATGGCATTTAGTGGTGGATTTTTGTTGGCAAAAACACAGATGTTCTTCTTTCATTTTGGCATTTTTATCTTTCCCCTTTCAGAGTTACCTCCATTTCGATAAGAATTCTGCCCACAAGTAGCGAGAACAAACTTTTATCAGGCACATTTGAAACTCAGAGACGTTAAGTGAGGATCCGAAGTCACACAGCAAAGTGGTGGGACTGGAAATAATATTTATTCTTCTTTATTTATATAGCACTTTATAGTTCCCAGAGTACATTCAAATTTGTTATTTCATTTGATTTGCCTCTCAATAACTTATAAGTAGATAGGACAAATGTGCCCATTTCAAAGATAAGAGAGCTGAGAAATTATGTTGATTGTACAGGGTTTCACATTTCTTAATTAGAGAATTAAGACCATGCCAGCAAGACAGACTGTCAGATTATCAGGGAAATCTTAACCAAAGCCCTTCCTTGCAGTCATAAATGAATATTATTTCCCATGTGATGGTACAGAAAATAAAGCTCCTTCTGTGGTTTGCAAAAAGATGACTGAGAGCTGGAATAACTTACCCAAAGGCACACAGCACAGCTAGTAAGTATAGAATCTCGTTTTGAACACAGCCCAGATCTCTCTGCCTTTTTGACTGTGGTCCCAGAACAATGTTCCCATCAAGAAATTTTGTCTTCTAGAGATGCATATTTTGCCTTCATAAGACACAACTCTTGGAAATTTGAAATGCAACACTTGGAGATTTCAAATTTGCCTCTGTGTACTTGGTAGGACAGGTATACGGTGTTCTTCAAACCAACAGACACCAGCCTTGCCAATATTCTGTTTCCATGGGCTGGAAAGTTTTACTCCATATCCTTTCTGAGTGTCTGTCTGGGAAAACAGTTCTTATCAAACACATGAGGGCTGATAATTTTGCTTTTCTTTTTAATCCTAAATGTGGATTTTTTGCAGTATTTCAGAGTCCATATGACTTAAATTTAAGGTTTTAAAAATGTTCTGTATAATAAATTCAAACAACAACAGAAGTACATAGAATAAAAAGAGATATTCTTTGCTTCCTTCTTATCTAACCTTCCAGAGATAATCACTGTGAATAGGATGGTGCGTGCCTTTTCTAGACTTTGTTTTCTGTTTATATATACATATATTCACATGTGTGAGTGTTTGAGTATGTGTGTATTTTTTCTGAAACTTGCTTTTTTCCATTTAATATTAGATCTTAGACATCTTTCTAATCAGTGCATTTAGATTTCTTTATTAAAAACAGTTGCATAGTATTTCATTAAATTGCAGGGTTATAGGGTATATGCATTTTAAAAAACAAGATGTCTTAGGGGCCGGTCGAGTGGCATGTTGGTTAGGAGTTGGCTTGCGACGCCAGGTCTGAGCAGCAGCACCCCGGTTTGGATCCCACGTGAGGGCCAGTGATGCTGCGCCCTCTACAGCTGTGATGGTGAACAACAGCTCGACCTGGAGCTGGGCTGCTGTGAGTCGCCGGCGACGGCGTAGGCTGCAGTGGGGCTGGCCGGCAGCTGGCGTGCGCTTTCGTGAGCTGCCGTGAGCCAACGTGGGCAGCCGTCCAGTGACCAACAGGCAACTGCCTCACCCGGGAAGAGCCCAATGGTGGTACCAACATGGGCCAGTGAAGCGATGCCCTCCACAACTAGACTGAAGAACAAAAGAACAGCAGCTTGTCTTTTCCCCTTCCCTGATTCCCCAACACTGTTCCCCTTCCTGAATTCCCCAATAAAATCTTTAAAAACAAACAAAAAAACCCCACAAGATGTCTTAAGTGAAGGACAGCACATTCTAGTCTGTCCATCTGGTTTTAGACCTGCGGCTAAATGACTGAGCAAACTAATCTTCTCTGAGCCTGTTTCCTTATTTATAAAATGAATATATAAATACCTTATGTAGTTGTGAAGATTAAAATCATTAATTAACATATAAACATTTGTTGAGGGACTTCTGTATACCAGGTAGTATTGACTAATATATTTGATGGTGTTCTATAAACTGGGAAGCCTTATATAAGGAAGTGCACCATGAGACTAATCCAAAAAGAGATGCGTACTTATCTTTGTCTCTTCCCCACTCACCTTAGCGATGTCTCTGAGTCTCTGCTTGATAAGTGCCTCTATACCTACCACTCTCCTAATCCCGACATCCTGATACGGACTTCCGGGGAAGTGAGGCTCAGCGACTTCCTCCTCTGGCAGGTAGGTAGTTTCCAACTCCCATTCTGTTTGTGTCAGCTGAAAACTGCTACTGCGCCCACAGAATGGATTAGAGGGGCTCATCCCGTTCCTAGGCTTGCTGGCATCAGAGAACTTTGTTGGGGGAGGGGGAGCACCTAAAATCTGGAAAAATGTCTCCAGGCTGTGCTTGGTAACGTTTGCCACCCATTTCTCATCTGTCCCTGGCTTTTTGAACCTGTGTGGTTCTTGCTCTCTAAAGCTCCTAGAGGAAAAATCAAGGCTATCCAGCTGTGGTGAAAACTTCACCTGGGCCCTTGTTCAAGGAACTGGACTTCTGCCTTATGTCTGAGCATAAGCTCCTGCCCTGGTAACCTGCCAGGCACACCAGCACCTCTGGGCTAGAACCTTGCTTTGCAGTTACTAGTCTCTCTCCTTCAGAATAAAGGGCCACATCTATGCAAGTACAGTCCATAAAGGATATAAACCATATGCAAACTCTTAGGGGGCATTGCCTGTCAGCTTAGTTACCCCAGTGTAGGTAGTCCCCCAAAAGCTCATAGTCAAATAAGTTTGTCTTTGCTTGAAACTCTCTATCTGTTAACTTGACCCCTGGGTAGCACGTGACAGGGGAGAGTCCTCGTTCAAGAAGTTGGAGGGAGAAAACTCAGCTTGGAAGCAATTCACATGATAAAGTTCCAGAAATTTTAATGGACCATAGCCTTAAAAGTGAACTAACAAGATTTAGCTTCTGAAGGTACTTTCAGTCTTTGGCTATATTGAGAGAAGGATAATGTGCAGCTTATGGTTCTGTGACCTACTCTGATGGTCAGATCATGTCTGGAAAGTCGTCTTCTGGGCACTGAGTTTTAAGAGCATTTGGTAAACTAGCAGACTTACCAGAAGAGGCCAACCTGGATACAATGTCCTATAAGGAATGAGTGAAGGATAACGGTTTGGAAAAGGGAAGCACGATAACAGTTTTATTCCCTTGGGGAAAAAAATTGAATATCTGCTTTGTGCTCGGAATATGGCAGTGACCAAGTCAGAAATAATCTCTGCTGTTGTAATAAAATTTACAGTTTGTTGGCAAAGACAAAGTGAACAAGTCATTACAACCTTGGGAACAAACAGCCCTAATCTAGCCTTCAAATATTTGAAAGAATTACACTTTGAAGAAGCAACAACTTGTTCCAGAAAAAAGACCTGAGACCTTGGTAGAAGTTCCAGGGAAGGTGATATTGGTTTAGCACAACAAGCTATCCGACAACTAAAGTCATCCCCCTTGAGGCACTGAATTCCTTCCTCACCACTGAAGGTATCCAGCAGTGTCTGTCAAGAATGTTCCCAAAGGGATTCTCTCATCAGTGGTTATTATTAAAGTTCACACAGCTCTGTGCTCTGACTGCTTTATGGTTATCATCTTGTTTGATTTCCATAGTACTTTAAAAACTAGGTATTCATATTACCTCAGTCTCACAGTTGAGGAAACTGAGGCCCAGAGAGTTTAAGTAATTTGTCTCAGGTCAAATAGATGGTAAGTGGTGGAGCCAGAATTCAAAGCTAGGCAGTCTGGCCCCAGAGCCCATGTTCTTAGCCACTGTGCCATACTCTGCTACTTAAAAAATAATAATAGCAGCTACCATTTGCTCATTGCTGACTTTTATCAGACAGTGTGTCTCCCAGATGACCTCTAAGGGCCATGAGCCAATAACATAATCCAGATGTTATTTCATAGTCCTAAAATTGGCTCTTAGAAAAATCCTGGTGGAAATGTTGATCTACTCTTGTTTTCGTTCTGCCTTGCTACAGGCAGGTGATCTAACTGCCTCAGATGACCCCTCCCCTATTAGTGAGTGAATCAGGGCTGGCCACAGCAGCTGCCGCTCAGAATGCCCATGCCATGTCATCTGCGCTTCTGGGTCCTGCACAGCCTGCTCAAACTTTGGAAGCCTTCCCAAGGATGTGTCCAGCCACATGTCACTAAACTGAACTCTGTTCCTCCTCACCTTTCCCAGACTTCCCACTCCTGCCTGGTGTTCCAGCCCATTCTGTGGCCAGAATACATGTTTTGGAACCTCTGTGAGGCCATCCTGCAGTTCCAGATGAACCATAGCATGCTTCAGGTTAGTTCGAAATAACTAATTCATCAGGTCTGGTCCTAGATAAACCATAGCACGCTTCAGAGCTGGCCTGACTGGATAGGATGAAAGAAAAGGTGAGCATTGATTGAGCACCTGTTATATATACCAGCTACTTGCCAATAAGCATGTTAACTATTGATGACGGTACCTGTCACTTAGCGTGTATTTACTATGTGTCAGTCACTGTGAACATTTTACATGCACTATCTCATTTAATGCTCCCAAGAAGCCAGTGTATTATTAGCCCCACTTGTGCAAATGAATAAATAAAAGTGATTTAATTGAGAACACAACCAATAAGAGAGAGAACTGGGATTCAAGCTACAAGTCTTTAATCTTTTTACTATGAAAACCCAGGAAAACCTCCTCAGAGAGACTGGGCATTATTCCCTGAAGGTCTTAACTTTGATCACCAGATCTTGAAACAGGAGGCAGAGTCACCTGCATCTGATTAGGACTCTTCATCATAATAAAGGGTGTGTGGTAGTGGCAGCTTACATATTGAGGGTCTGCTAAGGCACTTAGGTGTTTTCATGTAAGCTTTCTTATTTAACCCTTCTCCAGGAGCCACCTTAGTGGAGAAACCAAGGGAACTTCAATCCTCTGTGTGACTAGGCCAAGTCCCTTCCTGCCTCCGCCTCTGGTATCCTTGTCTAAAGTGAGAGGTCTTTAGGATCTTCCCTGATTCTGTCATCCTAATAGTGATGTGCAGATTCCTGGCGAATAGGGGCCAAGCTCTGCCTTGGCTACAGCCTACCTGCCCGGCACTCAGTCTGGGGCTGCCATTTGCAAGAAGCCTGAGCTTCACGGAGCGACTTTACACCAGTTCTGTACTTCCGCCCTCTGTCTGGGCGCCCCCATCCTTTCTGTCCTGCCAGAACTTAGCCTATTTAGCTCTAGCCATAAGCAGTGGTGATGGAAGAATAGCTAACTGTTAATAGCCATGCACTAGGCGAGGCATTCATTATCTCATTTTTCCTCAAACCACCCAGTGAGGTAGATACTGTCATCCCCATTTTACAGATTAAGAATTAGGCTTAGAGAGGTGTGAGAGTTTTGTGGACAGGAACTTCTTGAATCTCAGTGCTCCCGGGGGACGCACTCTGGCCTGATCAAGCTCTTCCATCAATATCATATGTCTTTTGTCCATTATTCCCAATTCCTGATATACCCCCGCCATACACCCCACCGTTATCCAAATCCTCCCCATCGGTTAAAACCCAGCTCAGATATTGCCTGTCCATGAAGTTTCACTGGTCCTTAACCTTCATTAGCCACACTTTCTCTCTCCTCTGAGCTGCATGGCCCTTTTTCTTGCCTCCTGACCACCTTCTACCTTGTACTGTGGGACTTTGTGTAGAGATCTGTGTCCTAATCAGCCAGTAAACACATAGCTTGCTCAGACTGTATCCTGAGTATCTCCATACTCCCCAATAAGGTCCTGTACCTAGGACCCAGGGTTCCGCCTGACCGAGGCCGGAAAGAAGCCCGTCCAACAAGATGGAGAGCCTTAGCAACTTCTCAAGCCTGTTTGAGTCTTCATAGCTCCACATATGTGCTCATTATCATAGCAAAAGAGTACCCTTGAATGCCTAGAGGGGGCATCTTCCAGAGTTTTCATTTGTCATCTTTATTCATGCAGTAAACTTTTATTGCTGAGAGGCCTTAGCAGATCACTTCCTGTTCTGGATCTCTATGTCTGTCTCCAACAGAAAGTACCTCCCTAGCTCCATTGGGAGAGTTGAGTACTTGTGCACATGTAAGATATTCCTTAAAGGATAAAGACAGAGCAATCCAGGTGTTTACAGGCTGAGTAGGACAGAGACATGTACACAAATACCATAATATAGGTGGAATTATGTGGTAAAGGTCAGGCTATAGGACCCCAAGTCGGCAGCAAAACAGTTTCTCACACGTGGGATGGGTTTGGCAGGAGGAGGCCTGGTGCAAAGGCTTTGCATACGGTTAGAGTGGCAGGAGCAGAGCACATCAGGAAGGCACAGCAAGGCCTTGGTTCTGCTCCCAAGGGATTTTCCCCTCCCCAGGAGCACCTTCCCTGCCCTCCTGGGATCGCATGGTCAGTCAGTAGAGTATTTCACGTGTACAGTGCACCCTAAGTGCCAGAGGGAAAGCCACAATCTGCTCTCTAGGAGTTTATGATTTGTCTGGAGACACACACAGGGTATAAGAAGTGCTCTCAGGGAGTATGACCACCTACCTGCTGTCAGAGCTGGTTCCAGGAACTCTGAGGGCTCTATGGAGCCGTCAGGGGCTTACTTTCTAACAGAAAAAGTGGACTATGGCTACTAATGCCTATTCTAGGCAGAATGCAGTCAGTGGCTTAAGAGTGCTGACCTGCTTCTCAGAAGGGTCATTTGCTGAGTGTCAGGCTGGTCCCCATACGGGAGGCAAGCCTGGAGCCCAATTCTGTAAAATAGCTTAGGGAGTTGAGAGGATGTCACCCTTAGGGTGACCTGGGAAGCCAAAGGTAATGTCCCTGCAGATATGCCCCAGGCGGGAAAAGGACCTTCCTTGCAGCAGAGAACAGACAGTAATAATGTATAAAATTGCTGTTTCTGTTTGAAAGCCTGCTAATATGCTAGAGGGGTTTTTACATATATTATCTCGAATCCTTAAACCATTCTTCAAGGTAGGTACAACCCCTACTTTACAGATGAAGAAATGAGGATTTACCCAAAGCCACAATGCTAGTTGGTGGGGGAACAAGGAGTCAGACCCACATTTGCTGCTTCCCTTCCCAGTACAAACCTGAGAAGAATTTCAAGAAATACAGATGCTCCCACCCAAAACAAACCAAGATGGACCCAGAACTGCCACTCCCCTGCCTGTACCACATGGGCACCACCCATTGCTACAGCCACACTATTCCCAAACCTTTCCAAATCTGGTACAAACTCCCCACTGTTCCACTGAACTTGGCCCACCCCTACCTCCTCTATCTCAGTTCCACCCCCATCTAAAAAAAAAACATCTCCCCTAATCCCCACTTATCTTTAGCAGAAGGCCCGAGACATGTACGCAGAGGAGCGGAAGAGGCAGCAGCTGGAGAGGGACCAGGCTGCAGTGACAGAGCAGCTGCTGCAGGAGGGGCTCCAGGCCAGTGGGGACGCCCAGCTCCGACGGACACGCTTGCACAAACTCTCAGCCAGACGGGAAGAGCGAGTCCAAGGCTTCCTGCAGGCCTTGGAACTCAAGCGGGCTGACTGGCTGGCACATCTGGGCACTGCATCAGCCTGAGTGAGGCTGGCCTCCTGCCACTTTGCCCTGCCCTCCGCCGCAAGGGCCCCACTCCCCTTTCTTTTCTTGGTGAAGGGTACCTCCCTCCTGATGATGAATTGTGTTCCCTTTGCTTGGTGGGGAGCCCCTGAGGCCGGTTTATGCGGGCCATAGATACCTTTGGGTTGCCTGGGACAGTAGCCCCTGGGGAGGGTTAAGGGTGAGAGTCTCCCACAAGTACACTAAACCCAGCTCTGGTCACCAATAAGTTTGGAGAGCAGGGGGCCCCCGGCTCTTCTGCTGCCTGCTCCTTCCGCTTTTGCCACCTCTACCTGTGCTCCTAAATGCACTTTCTTTTTCCACCAGCACAACCTTCAACACAGAATAGCGGGGAATAGGTCTCCCCAAAACCCTCGTCCTGAACCCATCCATCTTAGCCTTGCACTCGACTTTCACAAAAGATTTGGCTCCACCTCACGTCTGCTGGTAAATAGCTAATAGGCAGCCAGCGTCATTTGGGCAAGGAAGGGGAGAGACAGAAAATTTGCCCATCTGCTGCTCCTCCCCCTCGGCTCTCCACCTGGGATTTGCTATTGAATCTCTACCCCTCCCACCACGCAGTGCTGATTGCTCAGTGAAAGGCTCAGCGCCCCCAATGGCGCACGGAAGCCAGGCGGTGATTACAATCCAATTACCTATTGTCGACTCAGCCCACACAAGCTTTCCTCCTCCTCTTGCAGGGCATGGGGCCAGGCTCCGCTCCCCAATGAGACCAGCCCCCTCTAAGGCTCCAGGGTAACAGAAGAGCCTGTAGGCCCTGGTGAATCTAGTCCAGTACAGGCCTCCTTTCTTGGAACACATCAGGACCAAGAGCACAAAAACAAGCACTTGTTGTTTTTTGTGTTGTGTTTTTTGTGTGACTGCCTCCTGCCCTCACCATCTCAGACTCTGCTTCCCACCTCCTCAATCTTTGAGGCTTCTCTCAGCTTTTTGACGTGGCCCCCTATATAGGCCTTGAGACAATTCTCAGCATGGCAGTCTCAACTTGTGAGGGCCAAGGCTGCCCAGCAGGAAGAAGAGGGTTGAGTTAAGGGCTCTGTCCTTTCCCTTCTCCCTGCCAGGCCTCACTGCAGATAGGATTAGTGCCTTTGAAGAGCTGTCTGCCTGAGCACCTCTGCTTCAGGTGCCCCATAGCAGCAAGCACCAGCCAGTAATACCAACCAATGGCTACTCTGTTTAGTCTTGCCATTTTACTTTCTGCAAACTGTTTCCCCAGGATCTCCCTCTAGGGGAGGGATGGGGTCTAGCAAGCAGTCCTAAGTATACTTTTTAACCCTGACTTTCCTATACTCTTAAGTCTTCTCCCTGCCTTCCTGTGCCTGGATACCTGGCACAAGAGACCCCTTGGCCATTATCCCTGCTCCTAGAATCAAACTTAAATGCCAGACACTGCGATTGAGAAGCCAGTCAATGCACCCTTTGGCAAGCCCCCCAAACACCTGGCACGGGGTTCCCAGAGAGCAGGTGCTATACATTTTCCAGCTTTACAATGGGGCTGTTGACAGCCTTAATTAGGGAGGCATGAATTATGGGGCTATAATGCAGAGCCCTACAATTAAGGCGGGAATGAGGGGCTGGAGGCAGCAAAAGAATCTGCCCTGTGAGCATGGCCGAGTCCTGTCTCCGTTCTGGGTTTCCCCTAATATGATTGGGGTTCAGCAGAAGTGATTAATGGGGCTGGTATCTCTATTGCCTGAGGTCCTGTATTCTGGGAAAAGTACAGAATGGGGTGGGGTGGGGAGGGGCTGACCCAGGAGCACTGTAGGGGATGGAAGGAGAAGAGGCTGAGGAACCACGGCTGCCCAGGAGCAGGGGCTGCAAATAGTTGATCTGAACAACTTCTGGTTGTGCTCTACCGGTATGACTTGTACAAACCAGCCTCCACCCTTGCCTCAATAAACTAGGTGGACCTAGTTTAAATGTCCTCCCACCTGTGAGTCAAGCCCCCACTTGAGGATATTCATCGTGTTCTTGTGTTCTCCTGAGTGTCAAATAGAAATTTAATGATTCTTAGATGTAAAACTTGCTAACAGTGCGATGGAAGAACGCTTGTTCTGCTACATTTGTCTACCCTCCCTCAGGTGCACCTGGCTACCTCCAGTATCCCTAGCTTTGGGGTAGGGGAACCATTGGAAGAGACTTTTTACCATCACACCACCTGTTCCTCTACTTGTTTCCTAATCCCCGGACGCTTTCCTCCACCCTCCTTTTCCTCGCGCAAGTGAAAGGAAGCCAGTGTGGAAGGAGGGATTTCGCCAGCTGCGTTTGCAGCACCCAGGCTTGGTGGCCGCATCGTGGGGGCAGCTGAGCTTGATGTCTCCGAAGGGGGTGGAGCGTAGGGGGGAGGGGAGTACTGGTAGGCCTCCTTGGCGGCCGCTCTCCATCATTCTGTGGCAGGGTCCTGAAGTCTGGGAATATAGGGACCTCAGGGAGCCACCCTACAGGCTTTGGCGGGGGGCTTCGTTGACATTTGGGGAGGCAGCTGAGCGAGGGGTGCTGAAAGGACAGCTCCTACCTGCCCCACTGCACCCGAAAGTAACCTCTGCGTGTAAAGTCTCCCCCTCGAACCCGCAGTCCACCTCGAGTGGACCGTCTTCCAGGTGAGGTGCACGAAAAGCTTCCTCTGAGTGGCAGCTTGGAACGATGCACGTCCGGCTGCGCCAAGCTGGCTTCCCCGCTCTCCCACTACAGCGTCAGCCTTGGCTCTGGGAACTGCAGCCTGTGCCTCCAAGCCGCGCGCTTTCTCCCGCCTCTGGCGGAGAAGGGCGGTGCGGCCAGGCCTTGCAAATCCTTCTTCTGGGGCCCCCAGCGGGAACAGGAAGGAAAGCGGCCACGATGGGCCCTAAGTGTCGCACAGCTTGGAGAAGTGGGCAGCTCGGTTGCATAAGGTGGAAGGAACTTGGTAGTTTGCAAAAGCCAGCTATTGGTGGTAGCCGAAACCCAGAGTCCGCCGACTCGAACACCCTACTCCTCCACCCCCATTTATTGCCTAAGACGCACGCCTACCCCCCCAGGCGCGCCGCCTTCTCGCGCGCCTTCCCCCTATACCCCCCTCCTCACTCCAGAGGAGGTGAGTTTAAACCCCGCCCACGTGACCCCAGTTGGGCCAATGAGCGGCGGCGGGAGGTGAAATCCGGTTCTAACCGGTCCGGGGCTCCCAGCGCTATAAAAACTTTATAAACCCCCCGGAGCCCGAGCAGTGTGAAGAAGAGGCGAGAACGACCCCCGGACCGACTACAGCTCGCGCGCCGCTGCATCCCCGCGTCCAGCGTCTACGTTCCGCCGCCGTCGCCATCATGCCCAAGAGAAAGGTACGTGGCGCGAGGGCCCCAGGCTTTGGGCCGGCACTACCGCTGACACCACCACTGCTGCCGCCGCCGCTTTCCCGGCTTTGGGGAGCGAGAATCGACGCTGGGCTGGAGCAGACTTAGCCGCCCGGCGCGGGAACTCGAGATAGTGTCAGGCGGCCTCGGGCTAACCCTGCGCTGCTCGGCTGCCCGCGGGCGCCAGAGGCCATATTGGAGGAGCGGCGGCCGCGGCGGGAGGAGCCATGTTGGTGGCTGTTTATCCCGCTCCCCTCAGGCTCAGCGTGTCCGCCCCGCGCCCCCTCCCCCATCAGCAGGCCCCCCCATCCTTCCCCTCCCGGCGGGCGGGCAATTCAAACCCGAAAGGGCGGGAAGGCGGCGCTTGGGGTTGGCGGGCGGGGGGACGCGCTGCCGCCAAAAAACCGCCGCCGTGAGGGGGCGGGGCCCGTCTCCCTTGAGGCGGGGCTTCGCGTTGTAGAGACCCGCCTCAGCCCGCGGCCCCGGCGCACAAGACTTGCGCCGGTGCGCGCCGCTGCCGCCCACGAGTTCCCCGGGCTGCGCGCGCCTCCAGTCTCCCGCCCTCGACGGCTGCCATGGTAACGGCGCTCGGGCCCCGCCTCCAGAGGGGTTTGTTTGCACCAGCTGCAGCTGTTGCTTCTGCTTCTGCCTGGTTCCGCGAGCTGTGCTTGCTTCTCCGCGTTCTTCACCCCAGCTCAGCGCGCGCTTCCCGGGACCGCTACGCGAACACCCCCGGCGGGCTGGGGCTCAGACACCCGCCCTCCCTGCGCGCTTTGAGCTTGATCGGGCTAGAAGCTTACCCAAATGAGCACTCAAAACTTTTTAAGCATTTCGGTTATTTGCACCGGAGCTGGGGCAGAGAAATACTGACGATTTGTGTGTCCTAGAGTTGTGTGCAATATTTCCTTTCAGTTTTTTTTCCTTAGGACTTTGTTAAGCTTAGTGAATCATTAAATATTGCCTCAGAAGCTGCAGATTTCTTAGTTTTTGTTTGTTTTTTTATAGGCTGAAGGGGATGCTAAAGGAGATAAAGCCAAGGTGAAGGACGAAGTAAGTTTTGTTTATTCTCTTTTTGGAGTTTTAAAAAACTTTGGGCTCCTTTGGTGGTAATTAACCATACTCCTAGTCCTGGTTTGCCTAAGTAAGCTCTCTTCACTTCCTGTAGTCTAGAACAGATTGGCACCAAAAGTTTGTCTTTTGTTGAGTGGTTCAACTATCCTGTTTTTAACTTTTTTTCTCTTTTTTAAATAGCCACAGAGAAGATCCGCAAGGTTATCTGCTGTAAGTGTCTGCCTTTAAATTTTTACTTTTATCTCTGAAACAGAGACATTGAAAAACAACCCCCTCTGCTTCCAGTGAATGATGGTCAGTGACTGGTTTTATTGAGCTGTTCCACTGTGGACTCACCCATTTGAGATTTGCTGTTTCTGAAATTCTGATGACTTGTAACCAAAGTGGAACATTCAGAGTGTTTAGTGTTTCTTGAGTGTGTTTTTGAAGGAAATTCTAATGGGAAGTCAGCCACCAAATCTTTACAAAGTCGGGAAAACTTTCATGCCAGTGGTACTGTGGTTTGGCTTGTGGGTTTCCTTTGGTCCATATACCAATGTTCTCTTTCTCTCTCCCCAAATAAAAGAAACCTGCTCCTCCAAAGCCAGAGCCCAAGCCTAAAAAGGCCCCTGCAAAGGTGAGTGTGACTGGAAGACAAAGTGTTTCACGGAGTCACAAGGCTGAGCACTGTCCAATGTTGCTGACAGACCTGCTATATAGCAACTTCATCTATTGGCACAAAGTTAAGCTATGACAAAGTTAATAGTACTGGACCTTATAATATCCTAATTGGTCATTTTCACAGAATGAAGACTATCCATTAATATCTTCAGCATAATGGTGACTCCATGAATGGATGTTTTAAATTGTTTTGATAGCTTTCCTTGTTACTGAGATTTATATACTGATTCTTAAATCAAGTATTGATCATCATTTTACAGAAAACTCTGCACTTGGGTAGCAAATACCCATGCTTTTTAAGCTGTCTTATTCTCCTGTTTACACTCATAAAACTTTTGCATGCTGACAACCACAGCGCATTATAGATGATTTGGCCTAGTTTTGATCAGTAGTTTTTATCAGTGGGGTAGGGTTTATAGTTTGTGTGTGTGTGTTATCTTTTGATAAATAATCCTGCCTTGTGCAGAACTTGGTAGACCATACCCTGGTAATAGGAAATTAGGAGAAACAGCTCTTTTTTTTCCTCCCCCCTTTTAGAAGGGGGAAAAGGTACCCAAAGGGAAAAAGGGGAAAGCTGATGCTGGCAAGGATGGGAATAACCCTGCAGAAAACGGAGATGCCAAAACAGACCAGGTACGACTGCCATCTCACTTTTTGTGAAGTCTGCTCATTTGATCACTTACTGATCCCAACCGTCTTAATCTTAAGTCTTTTCTCTGCACCCACAGGAAGGCACATTAAGTGTGCCTTTCAGTCTTGAGTTGCTTGTGGTTTTCCAGTTAGCCTAAACCCTGGATTCTTGAGGTCTCTGCCATCTAATAAAAGGCACTGTGGTGTTGATCTTTGTCCCGTTGTTAGGTGCCATACTTAAGCTACACCATAAAATGTCCAAGCTGGGACTCTCAGATGTAATGCTAATGTATCCCCTTCCCTCATTTTACAGTACAGTCCCGAGGGGAAGTGATTTATCGAAGTTACCTACCAAGTCATTCTCAGAAGTAATACTGGGTGTCAGTGTCAAAGTACCTGAAACCTGAACTTTGGCCTGGGAGCAAAGTTATATTATAGATGGAATATAAATGAAGATAGTTTCAAAATGTACACATTGTAAAAATCTTGTCTGTTTTTCTTCTAGGCACAGAAAGCTGAAGGTGCTGGAGATGCCAAGTGAAGTGTGTGCATTTTTGATAACTGTGTACTTCTGGTGACTGTACAGTTTGAAATACTATTTTTTATCAAGTTTTATAAAAATGCAGAATTTTGTTTTACTTTTTTTTTTTTAAGCTATGTTGTTAGCACACAGAACACTTCATTGTTGTTTTTTGGGGAAGGACATATATTATTAATAGAACGTCTCCAAAGCTGGATTGACATGGGGAAAAACACCTTTTCCCCTCTAGTTTTGAGAGACTTCCTCTTAGTTCCTGGGAGGAGGGATCCCTTGATGTTGATACACATTAGCCACCTTGGCACAAACACCTTGTGGAGTGGAAAAACTCAAATTTGTTTTTATGTCCTCTTCTCTCTCTCCACCTTAAGCATAGACTTGACTCCCTTAAATCCAGAGACCTGTTGGGATCTGACCCAGAAAAATTGGTTACCAGTATGTCAGGCAATCCGGACTTGATAGTGTCACCATTGAGATGGCATCCCTCAAAAGAGCAGCAGTTCCATTTTTAGATTGTGGATCTACAGATTGATAATTCTGCCATTTTCATTTCATTTCCTGAAAGTCAGGGTCGGCTTGTGAAAAGTTGTTAAACAACAATGCTTAATGTGAAATGTCAGCCCTCACTCTAAACTTTACCTGTTCAGAGCATCAAATGAAGACTTCATTGGGTTTTTATAGTGGCTTTCTGATTTTGGTAGTCCATTGAAGAAGGGAGTGTGAAAGTTGTTGTATACTGTTAACGATTGTCTGCCCATGTCCTGCCTGAAATACCATGGTTGTTTATGAAAAGTATCTTTAATAAAGCTGGATACAGTTTGGCTTGGAATGCTTCCTCTCATCTTTTCCCAGAAGTGGGGGAGCCTAGTTTCTCCACGTCTCGGGGGACAGGATGCATTCTGGTTTGAGGTGTAGAGGTTCTGTGCACAATATTAACAGAACACAGTGCTAGGTGAAGTTAGCAAAGATCCCAGAGTAAGTAGATTATTGGTGAGAGGCTGGGAGCAGAGAAGTGGTTTCTGGACTTGGTTGTGCGGCATTATCTGCAGTGTACTTTTTAAATACAGATTTTTGGTAGATCTGAGGTTTTGGCCTGGTAACGGCAAAAGACCCTCTTGAGTTCACATGAAAACTGGAGAATTAGCAAATGAATTGATCGAATTATGTAGTCCTTCTGTCAAGAGAAAGTGCTTCTGTGTCTATATACAATTGGCCATAAGATGAGGCATATGGCACTCAGCTCTTAAGCCAGACCTACAGGTCTTCTGTAAATTGACTTAAGTTCTTGTCCTTGCTGGTGAATTGTTCTAGTCCAAAAACAAAGCCATTAATGGAGACTTTCCTGATTGCTTCCGTTTGAAAACCCTGCAGCGAATCCCTTTTCTTTAGGGAAATAGCAAAAAGTTATCTATTAGGAAATAGAACTTGTAATAAATCGATGCAATTTTAATGTCACAAGTCACCTCTATTTGAGGGAAATAAAGTAAATTAGAGACTACCAAAAAAATATCTTACATTGCTTTGTTTATCCCCATAGTTGATCGGAAAGGTAGAGCTGCTATATCAATTAAGCTCTTCCTTGGTAAGTTTTCTGAATTGTGTCTGATTTTCAGTCTTGGGACAATTATGTAATGCAGGTGTTAACACCATTTTTATGGATTTTGAAACAGACTCAGATGAAGAAACTTGGTCAAGGTTATGTGTACATCTAATGAGTAGCAAAGTCAGGATTGGAATCCCCAACTTTAGTCAAAAATAATTTGTGACTTAGACTTCTTTTTGGGGGGCACCTTTTGGATAAAGTATAATTTGTCCATTTAGGCAATTTTCAACCATTTTGCCTTCATTATTAATGAAATAGTTCTAGGTCATAGATTATTAATTTTTATTCGGAGGAGGTGTCGTCTTCCAGAGTGGAGACCACTATAGCTGTTAGGAGTAGGGGGCACAGCAGCTTGGGATTTGAGCAGAAGTTGCAGAATGTGAGAAAGCCACAGTTGGGGTTACTTGATCAATATATGAGTTCAGAGTCAGTAAAATGTGTTGAGCTGTGGACTACTGGGGGCTCTGCCACATGCTCCTTTAATGTTTGGGTCAGTCCCGTGTAAGTGTTATCCTTTTATAATTAAAAAAGCCTCAGTTGTTAAGTGGCTGAGGTTAAACTCAGTAGTAACCCTCTTTCTGTTATCTAGAAATGAGTATGGATAGGGTGAGCATGAATTTTTTTTCCTTCCTGGAAAGTTTACTAATTTGACTGGCTGTGAGAGTGCCTGAGCTTAAAAACAAACCAGACATGAAAACATGGTAAGGACATTTAAGACCTCATAATAGCATGCTCGGTGCCAATCCTGAATTGAACTAAATCTGGTCACAGTAAGATATAAAAATGGATCCCCTTCCTCCCAGCCCTGTCTCAACCTGTTCTAACCCATCTCAGGAAGAGTCACCAGTACCCTACATTAGGATACTTTGAGCTCTTAAAAAAACAATGGCTTAAACAGCAGGAGGATTTATCTCACTAACTGAAGTCCTGAGGTAGGGTAGTTGTAAGGACCTAGGTGTTACGACTTGATGGGTTACTCTCAGCATGTTGTCCAACCACCTCACAGAGTCAGCTGCTTCAGACTTCAAGTTGATATACATGTCCAGAGACAGAATACCTGTTTCAGTTTTTGCCCTTAATTATTTCCTAGAAGCCCCTCAGCATCCTAGTTTCATTGGGCAGAACTGGGTCACCTGACCATTCCTAAACCAATCATGGCAGGAGAGATGGAACCACCAAATCTGTTTAGAATTCAGCCAGAATTACTGGTATTAAATGGGAGGGATAGATGATGACTGATGAAAGTTGTCAAGTGGATCTTAACTGCTGTACCTGGATCCTGTGGTCTCTCCAGGTCTCACCTCACCTGGCTTAACTGCTGCATTTGACACACCTGAGTATAAGCCCCTACCTTTTAAAAAATTGAGCTATAATTCACATACCATAAAATTCACAATTTTAAAGCATATGGTTCTGTGGTTTTTAGTATATTCGCAAGGTTGTGCAGCAATCACTAATTCCAGGATATTTTCATCACTCCAAAAAGAAACTTCTTATTATTAGTCAATCTCTAGTCCCTCCTCCCTCCAGCCCTAGGCAACTACTAATCTTTCTATATAACTTGACCTTTTCTGGACATTTCATCTAAATGGATTCATAATATGTAGTCTCATGACTCGCGTCAGCATAATATCTTCAGGGTTCATCCATGTCATAGCATGTATTTCATTCCTTTATTGCCAGATACCATAATGGATATACCACTTTTTTTTTTAAAGATTTTATTGGGGAATTGGGGGGAGGGTAACAACATTGGGGAATCAGGGAAGGGGGACAGACAGGTACACAAATTGCTGTTTTTGTTCTTCAGTCTAGTGGAGGACATCACTTCACTGGCCCATGTTGGTATTATCATTGTGCTCTTCCCGGGTGAGGCAATCAGTTGCACAGTGGCTCCCAGCCGCTCACAGTGGCTCCCGGCAGCTCACACCAGCTGCCGGCCACTCTTGCTGGCTGCCAGCCACTCACGTAGCTCACGGCAGCCCACTGCAGCCTACACCATCGCCATCTCCGGTGACTCACGGCAGCCCAGCTCCAGGTGGAGCTGTTCATCATCTTAGCTGTAGAGGGCGAGCGTCACTAGCCCTCAATGTGGGATCTGAACCGCAGTCCTGCTGCTCAGGGCTGGCGCTCCCAAGTGAGCTCTTAACCAGCTGAGCCACTCGGCTGGCCCTGGATATACCACATTTTATTCATTAGTTAGTTGATGGATATTTGGGTCATTTATACTTTGGGGCTATTATGAATGCCACTATGAGTTATGTATAATTTTTGTAGACATATTTTCAATTCTTTCTCAGTGGAATTACTAGGTCATGATATCTGTTTAAATTTTCAGAAACTGCCAGACCAACTTTCCACAGTGACGACACCATTTTACATTCCTACCAGCAATGTTTGAGGGTTCCGGTTTCTCCATATCCTCATTGAGACATTTGTGTGTGTTTCTTTTATTGTAGTCATTGTAGTGGGTATGAAATGATACTTCATTGTGATATTGATTTGCACTTCTCTGATGACTAGGATGTTGAGCATTTTTTCATGTTTATTGGCCTTTTTTAAAAGATTTTATTGGGGAATTGGGGGAGGGGAACAGCGCTGGGGAATCGGGGGAAGGGGAACAGACAAGTTGCTGTCTTGTTCTTCAGTCTAGTTGTGGAGGATGTTGCTTCATTGGCCCAAGCTGGCACCATCATTGCGCTCTTCCCAGGCAAGGCAGATCTCACCGCAGCTGCTGGCCGCTCACACTGACTGCTGGCTACACACAGTAGCTTATGGCAACCCACTGCAGCAGGGGCTACAGCCTGTGCCGTCGCCGGTGACCCACAGCAGCCCAGCCCCAGGTCGAGCTGCCGTTCACCATCTTAGCTGCACAGGGCAGTGTCACTGGCCCTCATATGTGGGATCCGAACTGGGGCCCTCTGGCATCCCAAGCCAGTTCTTAGCCAACGTGCCACTCGGCTGGCCCCTATTGGCCATTTTTATATATATTTTTTGAAAACTGGCTATTAAATCCTCTGCCCATTTTTAAATTGGTTTATCTAGGAGTTCTTTATATATTCTGGATACTAGATTCTTATCAGATAATACGATTTGCAAATATTTTCTCCCACTATGGGTTTTCACTTATTTGACAATGTCCTTTAATGCACAACAGTTTTTAATTCTGATGAAGTCCAATTTATTTAGTTTTTGGTTGGTTGTGCTTTGGTATCATTAAATCCATTGTCTAGCCCAGGGTCATAAAGATTTACACATATGTCTTCTAAGAGTTTTAAATAATGTTAGCTCTTAAATTTAGGTCTTGAACCATTTTGAGTTAATTTTTGTATGTGGTGTGAGGTAGGAGTCCAAGCATTCTCTCCTTTTAAAGTAATTGTTCTAAAATATGTCCTGACTTTTCCGTGTAAAAAAAAGAACTGTTCTAGACTTTTCTGGGCCCTTCAGTTTCTGAGACACCATTTGTCTAGTTCTTGGCTCTGATCATCCCAACCCCTTTGTCTACAGTTTCTCCCTGTGATGTCATCCAGTGATGGCATTTTCATCTGCCCACATCTCTCAAGTCCAGTATTTCCACAAACCTCCTGTGCAGTCCAATCTTGATGTACCACAGGCATCTAAATTCAGCATGACCAAAATGGAAGTCCTCTTGTTCACAAACCCACCTTCCCTGTTTTTCCCAGATCTTGTAAAAAGCACCACCACCATTCCATCTCTCAAACAAGAAACCTGAAGGTTACCCCAAATACCTCCCTCATCACACATTTCTAGTTGCGTGCCTAAATCATGGTGACTTGACCTTTGGGAAAAAATTTTTAAATTTTTTGTCATGGAAAATGTCAAATATGTGCACAAGTAGAATATAAAGAACTTCCATGTACCTATCACAAAGCCTCAGCAATTATCAACTTGTGGCCAACCCTGTTTATACCACTGTCTACTCCCCCTTACTATAACCGGACATCATATTCCATCCATAAATACTTAAGCATATGTATATGGTGCCAAAAAATGTATGCACATTTTAAGAAAGGAAAACTATAAAAATCGTAATAATACATACCAATAACAAAAGATGAATACAAGTCACGTTTGACTTCTGCAATTACAAGTTGCTCAAAGTCGTTACAATCAGCATGATTTTAACAGGTTTTTTTTTTAAATGTGTATACATTTCTTTGACACTATTTTTTAAAAACACGATTCAATATTAGCATACCAAAAAC